TTCAGGCATGATTGGATCTCCGGCTGTGAAAAGCCATCCTGTGTAGCTCGCAGGGTCATTGAGGCACGCAAGCCAGCACACCGCGTCAAGGTGCAGTCTCGTTGTGATGGTTCGAATACTCTAACGTTATGTATAAACAATATTCGGGAAGAAAGTTTGCGACTAAAGGAAAGTTGGCAAATCCTAATGTGAAAATATCGGGATGAACACATAAAACATTTGTTCCAACTGTTCGAACCTCAACTAGTGATAGTTATCGTTGGATTTCAGTTGGTATAAGTGGCTGCATAGGTGCTTCACTTTTGGCTTCTGCTCATCAAAAGGTCTGACGATGAAAATACAGGAATTAGGAGCATAGTTCAGGTGCATATCTAAAAGAATACCCTTGTCCATGACAACTTGATTTTCCTTTGATATACGGACAGACAACACGAAACGTCGAAATCGTACAGTGCATTTCTGGAATTATTTCACTGTTTCTCAACTAGTATTTTTGGTGGAAGAAAGAATTTCCATTCAAGGGCACACTGAGTCATCATAAGGGGATATCTAAGTAACATGTAAAGTTTTTTTCTGTAAATCCCTTTGACTGCAATAATCTGTTGATTAATTGCATATAACAGTTTTTTAAAGCCGGATCACGACTTAAGTACCTAGTCTACTTTTCAGCAGATTTCGAGAGGTACGGTAGTCGTTATCGCCACCCGAGAGTCCTGAGTTCTTAACTAGCCACCACCATCACCCATCTTCCCATTATCTGTATTTCCCCCCAGGCATCCTTTGTATGTCCGCGGCCCCCTTCCCGAAAGTTTATTATGCATTCCTATGATCAGTAAACAAAAAAGAAGCAAACATTTTATTTATTTATTTAAATGCCCCTTTAGCATTTTGGCCACCGTCGACTTTCAGAGTTTCCTAGTTTTCCTCAATTTTTCATTCAGTTCATTGCGTTCAATTGGGTTACATCGGATTCTGTTTATTTTCCGTATTTTATTGTTATGTTTACATGGTGTTACTGCAAACTCACCGTAATTCATTCTCACTGTGTGCATTTCAATTGTTGGTTTACAGGGACGAGTTAAATGTCTTCGGGGAGAATTCAGAGAAACTTTTTCGGTCGTAAAGGCCCGGTGGCCCAGGTCACCGTCTCTGTCGTGGCTCGATATCTAAGGTCTGAAATCTACCACCGCCACCACTACCTACGAACTCTGGTGATAGACAACTTTGATTTCGCCCGGTTTTATAGCACACTTATCTCACCAATCTGATTCTCGTGGCTCAGGCGGTTGTTTCCCGAAACTGGACATTCAGTAATGGCGTTTGTAATGCTCGCTCTTTCTTACATGAGCTGCCTAATAATGAAACGAGAGGGTTCCGGGTATGCGTTAGTATCCGGTTATCCGTTACACCAACCGTCTTTATTGGTGATCTATTCCTTTTTAACGAGATCGTGAAAAACACCGTTAATCGGGTGTTTATTGTCTTCCATCACACCCTATAAGTTGGGACAGTAATTTGGTCTGAACCGATCAACCTGTGGTACCTTCGCTAATCCTATTTGTTGGACCAGTTTCGTCAAAAGGTATCACATGCTTTATTAAATTCAGCTGAGTACTGTCAACTTGTTCATTGGGTGTTCAACTTCCGTTCTACCTTTAATTTTGTCCTAATGACCTAGTTTCACCGGAAGCCGGGTTTGTTTATACTTCATTTGTTTGAATCTATTGCAATGGCGTACAGTATTGATACTCATGTGAATAGCGTCATCATTTTGTCGTAGTCACCGGATTTATTATGAACAAATGATGTCCAAGCCGATTTACCATGAACTAAGAAATACCGAGCAGAACATACCCATTTATTATCATTTTCTCTGGTTGATTTGCTTCATACTGCATGCCTTATTGTTATATTGAGTCATCGGTATGGCGCAATGAGTTGCAAGTGACAAAAGTGCCTCAGTTTACCAAAGGTCACATTCGAAAGTTTTTTTTACTCCTTTTAATCATAACCCTGGCTATCGCGATTCACTCAACGCAATATTTTTGGGGTCTAAGGCAATGAAGAGGATGAATGAACCAACCAACGCTCAGTGTATTTGGCATAAGCCCTACGCAAGATGAGGTAGATGTGCATATTATTTTCATTTAAAATCACCCCGGAGGCACTTTCCACATTTTGGTTTTTGAATACAACAAATTCAATCTGATGACCACATCACGTACTGTGCTGCTTCTTTTGGGTGCAGACAGATTCCGAAAGCTAACTTATTCTGTAGTATGACAGTATATTTACAAAATATTGGTCCACAGTGTTCCTGGTTTTAGTTTCAGTCGCAGCCATAGGTACGCTCGGTGAAAAAAGTGTGGGAACGATTGTACTAGGTTTCACAGTTTTTCTTTTTATTTGTTCCATGTACGATGAAGTTCTGTCAATAATTTCTACTTACCCCACACTACTACTCACCAGTAGTTGCGGGTCAAATTGTGAACTGAAAATGGAACCAAAAAAGCTACAATATGTCTAATTGTATACAGCGATCCAAACCGGCATAGGCCAAATTTACTGGAAGGCAACCAACTACAATTTATAAGAATTCCATTATGTTTGTATCGGAATCTACCCGTCTGTCGCTAAAATCTGCTCCGCTTTCCAGACTTTCCTCACAATCGACTCCATATTCCCTGAATTTCTCAGTTCCATTTACCTAAATGGTGTTCGAGGTATGTCTTCGTTCATACGCATAAATAGTTTCTCATAGGGTACCTGGATTTTCCTATCTGTTTTCAATCCAGTTTTTCGTGATAGAACGTGGGTTTGTGGTCAAATTACCCACCACGTAATAATTCGAGCTGATTGTAAAACTTGTAAGGACGAATGCGCTTAGGCCACAATGAAAACAAAATAACGTTGTGTACAAAACACAGACACACACACACGTCATTGTTGAGCTTGAACATCTGATCACTTGGTTCCCCTCCGACTCAGGCTGCTGAAGTGGTTGTGCTCAATTTAGATCATCACATGCAACATATGCTGGTCATGAGAGACGCGCTGGAGCAGAGTCTACGTCAAACATTCCCGCCGGATGGTCCTGTACGCGTGATTATATTTGGCCAGGATCGATGCGTGCCCGCCTCTGTGCATTCCCGTGGCACTGATTTCTCGGCCGTTTGTCGTCGGCTCGGTGGTCGTTTGCCCAACACGGTAAACGTTGCTTTCGTTGGGCCGTCGTGCCTAAATGGTGAGTTTTTATTGAATCACGTATGCTGCTTTGTTTGCTTTTTTAACTGGAAGCAATCTGGTATGCATTAAAAGACCGGATTTCAATTTTTTGGGCACCGCCTATGATTTCTGAAAAAGGACTAGTGTTATATTCCGAAAATCCGGTGCTGGTCGAGGAGAATTCTTTATTGCGGAATACAGATTGAGGGGCACTAATTGTGCATGCATAACACGAAAAGCTCATCAGAAACAT